CTAGAAATCCTTCTTGATTCCTCCCTTCCCTCACATACCCCTCCCATTCCATCCAAATCTTTGTCCCTCCAAACCATAGCGAGAATCTATTTCCTTCCACATCCACCACACCCATCCTACTGCTGGCCACTGTAATCTTTTGACTATTGCAATAACCCTTTCTCCATTCCTCTCGCCTGCGCCAATACATTTTTCACACAAGACTAAGCTTAAAAAATGCAAATCAGGGGCCTCCACTGGTGGCACAGCGGTGGCACAGCTGCCCGCAGCCTCTGCAGCGCCAGTTCGATCCCCGGCCACTGGCGAGGGTCCCACATGGCGCACAGACCTCTCCTGCCGCGCCTGCTGCTCCCTTCAGCAGTGTGTTTCCTTGGTGCCTGTTCTGTTCCCCGCTCTGGCTCTGGTGAATTCTCTCACCCTCCCACGCGTCTCACTGTACCCAGTGCTTGTATAAATAAATAAATAAATCTTAAAAAAAAAAAAAATGCAAATCAAATCTCATGAGTAAAAAGTGCCCAAAGGACTGGTGGAAAAGAACCCGAAAAGGTATCATGATACAGCCAGCTCAGACAAGACCTGGGGAGGACAAAAGCATAATCAGAGACTAGACGTTCCACAGAGACTGGGGAGTATATTGCAACCTATGTGCAAGAGGATTGTAAATGGTAAATTTAACACACTTAGAAACCAAAGCATATCTGAAGGCAGGGCCTGAGTGGCCAACATAGCCGGCATCTGGACCTCTGCCCACAGGGAACAAAGCCTGAGCTCCTTTCATGCGCTGACCACATAGGCCACACTAGATGGTAAAAGGCAAGTATGACTCACCTCTTGTTCCCAACTTTCTCTTCGCAGTTTCTTCCACTGCTCTCTCTTGGCAAAGTAATCAGGATACATTGCCTTCTCAGAAGGATGCCAGGTATCTAAGCACCAATCAGGAACCTATCAGGATAGAAAATCACTGTGTTAGCCCACAGGATGATACATTTATATGCCACTAAGAACATCTGCTCAGGAGACAGAGAAAAATCGATGTGGATTTTTATAAGCATTACAAGTCCCAGGATGTTACTGACACTAAGCCACAGACAGCAGAAGACAAGCAGGGCCCACAGCAAAGGAGGATGCCTTCTGATGAAACAAACTAGTGCTGAAAACAGCAAGGTCAGTCCAAAGAGAACTGCCCCCTCCGCTCCCCATCTGCCTTCTTGAATAACCAGACTGGGTTTATGTCGCTTGGAAATGTCAACCAGAATTTCTCAGAAATACTAAAAAAAAAAAAAAAAAAAGCATCAATCCAAATTAGTTAACTTTGGGTCAAAACTGAGTTAGTTATTTACCAAGTAATTGAACAATCTGCCTTGCCAAAATTCTTACTAAAAGACCTCAGAGTTGAATTTGAAAAGTCTAAATGTTTTCTGGAAGAGAGGAAGATGACAGCCACAAAAGAGTATAACCATCAGAGACGCCTCCCAGTTGTCCCCAAAAGGCAGTCAGGCTTTAAGGCTGAATGAAGTTTGGGAAAGCAAAAGCCTTTAGTCCTCACCTACCTTGTAACACTCGTATCGCTCATAGGAGGTGCCCCCGGGAGAGTCAGGGAAGATATAAGGTTGAGGATGCTGACTGTGCCAGAATTCTTCCTCCGCCTCCCTCAGCAGCTGGGTGGCTCTCACCATATCCTTTTCATTCTTATGTTGGTCAAAGCGGGCTCTCAACAAGCAAGCAAAGTACCGGTATTTGTCCCTTAAACCAAAATGAATTTGGAGATTGGAAATGTTATGTATGCAGATGGGCGGTATTACTGTCTGACGAGACTGCCCTTCCCCTCGGCCCCCCCCGGGTGAGCGGCATCACTCCCGACAGCTCCCCAAACCCTGCCAAGGGAGCAGCACATCTGACTGTCCCCTGCCGTCCTCTGAACACCAACAACCAAAAATGCTCTATTACCTACAACCACTTCCCCCACCCCCAACAAAGTAATGGTGATTTAAAAAAAAAAGGGGGGGAAAAGTAGTTATAAAAGAGAAAGGCTGCATCCTCTGCTGGATCATTCAACATTCACTTAATGACAGCTTACTGGATTTCCTCCTACTTTGTGCCAGGCACTCAGCTAAATTCTGGAGATACAGATGAGTAAGGAAGAGGTGTCACATGCTGGAAACACTATTGTTTGATCAGACACACATGGGTTTGGCTCCTGACTCTGACACTAGATGCACCATCTCAGGCAAGTCATAGTCTCATTTTAGAAGAAACTGTGGGCAGAGATCATGTAGGAGGCTTTGAGAGTAACACAGGCTATGATGGGAAGGGCCTGAAGCAGGCAACTGTGGCGTGGACAGTCAGCAGATAGGAGAGAAACACATCAACTACAAGCTATGAGTGTGGGCACTCAAGTCAGAGGTGGGAACCCAATCTTAGCTCTGCTACTTACTAGCTGTGTACTCCGGTATATCACTTAATGTGTATTTGGGCCACAAGTTCCTCCTCTATGAAAGCATTATTAATAATAACAGTATCCATACCTTAAGATTGTTCTAAAGATTCGGTAAGCTAAAACACATCAACACACTTCCTACTACCACCTCGGTGCTTAATGTCAGTCACCAATTATGACATTGGGGAGAAAATTTACAAAAATTAAGGTCCAACTATACACGTCACAAAAATATGTGCCATTGTTAGAATGGTAAGTAGTTGGGAACAGCTCTCAGATTTAAAGTGACTAAATTACTAGTAATGCCATTAATTAAGGCAGGGTATTTGGGAACAGAATCAGAATTGGGTAGTGAAGAGACATTTTAAAGAATTTAAATAAGTTGAGTTTCAGAGAACTGTAGGTGATTTAACAAACAGCTAGAAATACAGACACCTGAACATAGGTGGTAGTAAAGTCCCAGAGTTAGATCAGGCTGCCCAACACGTATACAGCAATAACAGGAGGCCTAGGATGCTTAATGGAGGACAAACAATGTGATAAGGTTAGGGAGAAGAAGACAAATCAACAAAGTAAGATGTCCGTGAGATTAAAAATCACTGAATCAGGGCCTCCCCAGTGGCGCAGCGGTTGAGCGCTGGGTTGCTTAGCTGCCCGCAGCCTCTGCAGTGTGGGTTCAATCCCCGGCTGCCAGGCGAGGGCCCCACATGGCGCACCTGCTGCCGCCTGCTGCTCCCCTCAAGCACTGTATTTCTTCAGTCTGCCTATTCTGCTCTCCACTCTGGCTCTGGTGAATTCTCTCACCCTCCCGCACTTCTGACTGTACCCAGTGCTTATATAAATAAAAAAAATTAAAATAAAAATCACTGAATCAGTATTATCATAGTAGCAACTTTTATCCTATCCTCAATGACTGTTTCAGTATTCCCAGGTATAATCTGGATAACTTGACATCTCTCAAGATTTAAATCTGTTATCTGTCTACATGGCCATTTTCCCTATTAATCCTTCAGCTGCTACAATTAAAAAAAACTTGTTAGCTTTTGTTTATTCGGCATTCAGCATAGATTCTGAATTGCAAATTCTGTCTGATGAACGAATAAGGAAAACTCAGAGAAGAAACTAACAATCCCACATGCTGAACCCAGCCATCTTCCTGGCCAGCAAAGAACAGTGTCAATGACCTTTCAATATCACAAATGTGCAAACTGGGCTTCAATGATGCCTTCTACAACTCTTCCAGGCCTACTCTTGTACTATTCAGAAGTTTTTATCAGAAGCCTTTCTCCCAGGACTATATTCTGGTATTCTGATATGGGAGTGGAAGACTGGCATTCACACATGTTGGGCTGTCATCCATTCTTACACTTCATTTAGGCAACAAAAATTTCTGCTATAAGACTGATCTATGACTACTCTCAGATGGATAGAGGAAAGAAGAGAAACAATTATGTGGGATGTGCAGGTCGGACTGAATAAAGCTAAACATGAGAGCTGATGGGAGGGGGTGGGAGAATGATGCTTGGAGGTTAAACACCTGAGTGATTCCTGGCCAAGTCACTTACCAGTAGTTAATCTTGTTAAAATAAACAACAAGCCAGCTCTGAGAACTTCTCAAGCAGTCAGAATCAGTTTGACTTAACCAATTTTGCAAGACTAACTTGATCTAGGTCATTTCTCCTTTAGGCCCCTGATAATCCTAAGCAAAACATAGTTTCCCAAAATTGATGCATCCTTCACTAACCCAATTCTCAATCATTTAAGAAAATTCTAATGTCCCAATGAATCACTGTGAAGAACAATCACTGCTTTCTCCCTATATAAACTGTTTTAGAACAGTACCTCCCTGAGCTTCAGTCCACGTTTTGGTTTGCGTGCTCCAGGTTTGCAAACTCTCTTTTTAGTGTGCACGGTCAACTTTCATCGGCTTTACTTCTGTTATATCTGGGCTTTTAATACTCTCCATGCCTCTGCTTTCTCCTCTGTAAAATAAGGCTAAATAATTCCTAATCCTCGGATAAGGCACATATTATTGCTGCTGACACTAGGAACGAGAAAGTCAGGGAGAAAGCTATTATCTGGCGACCACTGGATGCAGAACAACTCGTGTTGGGCACTTTCCTTTGCTTTACTTAATCATCATGCAAATCCAGCGTCCGTTTTCCCGAAAAGAAAACTCAGGCCAGGGCCGGACCCGCATCTCGCAGGTTCGGGCCGTGACGCCCGACCCGGCCCGGGCCACGGGCCGGCTCCCCGGGCGAAGGGCCACCTTCCCCTTCCGTCCCCGAAGTCCTTGAGACCGGCGCCCCATCCTCGCCGCTCGCGGCGGCCGCTGGGCCCCCAGCCCTGGTGCCCCGCTCCCACCTGTGGATGCACCACGACTCCAGGTGGCGCAGCGACCGCTTATAAAGCCGCAACACCTTCTGCTGGTGGGTCAGGTAGGCCGCCGGCGCCGAGAACGCCATGACGGCCGCTCACCTTCAGCCGCGCGCGGCCTCCTGGGAGGCCGGAAGTGCCTGTTGGGGGCGGGACCAGCGAGGTCACTTCCGCTTCCGCCCCGCAGGACCCGCTTCCGCCCCGCAGGACCCGCCGCCGCGGTCATGAGTCGCTTTAAGTTTATAGGTAAGAGCGTCCTCCGGGCCTTAGGCGCTGCTGCTGCCCGTCAGGCCTCGTCCGCTGTGGCCACAGAGCCTGGGACTTGAAATGTCCGAATTTTTAAGGGTTGAAAGGGCGCTCAGTGGGCGAACGAGCGGGGGCTTCTGGGTAATGGCGATGTTGTGGCTTTCGGGCCAGGCGCTGGCGTCACGGAAGTGCTTACTTGAAAATTCATGAACTGAGCAATTTTGATTTATGTTCTTTTCAGTATATGGTCGTGTTCAATAAAAATGGAAAAAAGGAAGTGAAAAGACCAGAAAGGCCCATCACCTTGGTACTCGCCATCGCCCCGCACCTCACCCCCTGCCCGGCCTCGAGGGGGCCCTAAAATGAATGCATCCGTCCTGCTTTTACCGCACCCCTTTGGTGGCGCTGGCACCCGTCCCCTGCTCTGCTGGCGTCGCCCCATCTGGTGACAAAACTGCGGGACACAGTAGGAAAAAACTAGTTCTGTTACTTGGCAAATAGAAGAATTCATTCAGCATCAGTCGAGCAAAAGGGAGATGCCGGACGCAGCCAGAGGAGCAAGCATGTTCACTACCAGGCGCTTAGGGAAATCGGGGGGAGGTTGTGCGAGCTAGCCTTGGAAAGGTGACTTGGGATTGCAGGTCTTGCTGAGTTTCGTTTTACTGCATGTAGAGTGGAGCTCTGCTGAAGGCTGTTGACAGGGAGCGCTCGTTCAGTAACTCATGGCGTGCCAGTTGTCTACCCGCAAGCTTGGACTGTGAGACACAGCTTGGGGTAAAACTGCATGATCCTAGTCTTCGTGGAGCCTATCACTACCTTAAAGTGGAAAGTGATGGTCACATGTGTGCGTTAGTAAGGTACTCTTGACAGCGATTGTGTGGGTTTTGTGGAAGACAGGGAGAGGCAGAGAAGCCGTGTAGAGCTTGAGTTAAGGCAGTGGAAATGGGAGAGAGAAATGAGATGTGTATGTACTCAGCACCTATCAGCTGAATGTATAGGGCAGGTAAGGGACAGTGAACAAAGATGACTATGGTTTGGGGTAAATACCAGGATATGAGATGGAAGCGTGATTGGTTTGGCAGTGCCGTGGAGATGTAGTGACATCTATTTGGATTAGGTTAAATGACATCCTTATAGGATGTCCAGGTAGAGATGCTGGTAGATAATTGGAAATGTAGTCTGCACTCAGGAGAGAGGTTAGGATTAATAGCTTATATCTGAGAGTTGTTTGGCACAGTTGTTTTTTTTTGTTTTCCACAAATACTGTGCTAAGTACTGTGGAACGATGAAAAATTGATGGCGCCGTTTTCAGACAGCAGAGGTATGTCCAGTCAAACTTTGGTACAGACAAAGCAAATGCAGAGAATTTATGAAACGCTGTGGAGAAAATTGAAGTGGAGTTGAGGGGTAAGTCCTCATTAGAGATACTTTTCAGGTGTGATGTCTGGCAGGCTCTCCACACTAATCTGTGATGTAATTGGTGGGGGATGTGGGGTAAGAACCATGAAACACCCCAGAAAAAAAAGGCATTAATTTTATAGAAAAGTGTGTGTGTGTAGTATCAAGTTAAATCCAGGTCTCAAGCCATGTATCCTTAAATCTGACCTCAATATGGCTTCCAGAGTGGTCTATATAAAATAACATTTTTCATTTCAACTGCATTTTTCTTCTGCCTTCAGGGTTTCAGGAGGTGCTGTTTTCTTGCTTCTGATAAGGTTTTAGAGTGAGAGTTTGGGGCCATAATGTCCTCTCTGCCTCTCGTGTCTTATTACCCTCTTGCCTGGTTGATTTTCCCTTGTTCTTTAAGATTTCATAATTCCACGTTTTTTAAATATTTATTTAGCTGCCTCTCCCACTACACCACACTCTTAAGTCAGATGCCTAGTGCTATTTATCTTTGTTTCCCAGGAGTTTAATACAGTGACTGTTTCACTAAATAAGTATGAATGACTGGGCAGCATAATATGTTGCCTTAGTGGTAAGGTGATAAGAAAATTAATGAAGAAATCTAAACCAAATATGCTAGAAAAAACTTACTACAGAAGTTAAGGGAATAATTTTTTTGTATTTGCTCCTTCACTTCCACTCTCCTGAAGTTAACCATTGTTAATTTACCTTCCTTAATTTTGTAAAATATTTATACAGACACATAAAAATACGCAGACATGGGCCTCCCTGATGGCGCAAGGAGTTATGTCTCAGAACTATGAAGCTGTCGGTAGCCACTGCAACACCAGTTCAATCCCTGGCCAGGGTCTGACCCACTATACTGACTTCTCTGTCATGAACAGTACTTTGAAAAACATCTTAGACCCATAGAAGATTGGTTCATGAAACAATTGCATGAAAATTAAACCTGTGCTACAAAAGCAGGTTTAGATTTTGGTTTAGGACAACTGACTACCCCAGATTATAGTCCTGCTTTTCACTTAACAAGTGGCTATACCATGTTTCAAATATGGGTGAGGGATGGGGGAAGCAGAACTATTTTTTTTTCCTCTGGGGGGACACCTACCTCAACTTTCTGTCCCAGGTTATACTTGCAGCTAATTTCTTTGACTTTGTTGAGTAAATGTCTTCAATCTGTAATAGCAATAACAATCTATACTTTATCGTTGTCAGGTGATGGGATTTGGGGTGCAGTGGAGCCTCCCTTTTCAAAGCATCAGTGTTTTAAAATTCATCCATCAAAAGTTCACTTAAGGACACAGAAGAAGGACTGACAGGGATGTCAGCCATCGTGTGTAGATCTTGATGCATTTGCAATATGTGTGTGGATGTCTCTTGTTTACCTTTGAAATAATATAGTGCCCTTTTTAAGCTAAAAAGGTATTTTATCCTCTAAATCTTCTAAAGTAAATTTGATACTCCAGGGAATGTGTTATATATTGTCTGGAACACCCTTTAGTTTGAGAAGCAAAGCTTTAGGTGATTCCTATCCAAGCAGCCTCCTCACCACCACGAAGTGAGCCTGTGAGAGAGCAGTGGGCAGTAGTAGGAACTTCCTCCTAGGGCCATCCAGCTATGTAAGGTTTACCTGTAGTTGTGTTCTTTAACGGGATTCTTACCCTGCCCCATGTCCCTGGAAGCAGGCTGGTTAGTGCTTCTGATCGTATTTCATAATCGGGCTTATTTCCTATTCTTTGTCTTTAGTTCTCTTGCCAGCCTGGTGATTTATTCATTCATTCTGCAAATATTTACTGAATCTCTTCTGTGTCTTCCACCTACTGTGCTAAATGCTAGGAATCAGTCCTTAGCAAAAACTTGCTCACAGTCTAGTGGTGGAGACAAAGCACCTCAGCAGTGCAGAAATTTTGACTCCAAAACATATTCACATTCCAGAACTTCAGTTCTCCATTTTATTGTAATTCCTAGAACTTGCTCACAGGTGGAATACTTTCAGATGATCAGTGTGAATCTTTCCTAGGCCCCTTTGTATTGATTGAGAACAAGTCAATTGAGAAACAGTGCTCTACAGACACAGTGAATGCCTTTCGGTCTTGAAGATAGAGTCTGTGCCTATGCACGTCTGTCTGTAGGGTGGCCTTTCTGTTTACCAGCTTAGAAGCCTTAGCTTCTTACCTTCCTGCCCCTCCTTTGTGCTCCTGGGCACATAATGATGCTCCACAGGTTTGCTGTGTGTAGAACTCCTGCTCCGTGCCGGCCAGCGTGCTAGCCAGCGTGCTAGCATCTAGAGATTCAATAGTGAAGGATATAAACATTTCTTGCCTTGTGTTGCCTACACTCAAGCTTATTGTATCACAAATACAGATTACATCTATAGTTCCCACACAGAATATTAAATTCTTGAAGTGCAGGGACCAGGTGTTGGTATGTATTCATTTCCAGGTCCCCTAACTCCTTACATAGTATTGGCAGAGTTGGTCTTCACACATAATTGGTGAGTAAAGGAAATAAATGATTTGCATTTCCACTTGCAGTACCTTAATTCAGGCTCTTTTCACTGCAAATATGAGATCTTGCCTATTTCTAAACGAGATAGCCTCACTCCATTGCTCTTCATACCCCACCTCCCACAAAGGCACCAGGATGAGAGAGCCAGGATGCTAGTCGGTCCGCTGCCCAGAAGCCTTCACTGCCTCCTGTTGTGTGTGGTATTTTTGTAACATCGCTGAGTCTGACCTTTCCCTCCCTTCAAGTCTCTCCAGCAGCTGGAAAGGCCAGTGACTCCCTCCAAAGCACTGTTCTCTTTCACACCCTGGATACTTTGCTCTTGCTGCTTCCTCTGTCTGCAGTTTCCCCTCTTCTTCCAGGGCACTCTTTTAAGATTAGTTCAGGGATCCCTTCTTTCTGGATGCCCCTCTGGGGCACCTCTCCAACTAAATAGGATGTTCCTAGTCTGTGTCCCGCAGCTGCCAGTGTCTACTGGTAAGAGTTCTAGATTGCCTGTTCATGGGTCTGCCTTCCCAAGTCTGTAGTGAGTTTCTTGAGTGCTTGAGTTATATCTTACTCACCTTTGGATACCAGGTATCCGCGCCATAACTAACAGTAGTCACTTAGATGTTGTTTGAGCTTATGAATGTGTGAATGACTATTTCAGCAACAAGAGTTTTTATTTAAAATAGTTTCAAATAGAGGCTCTTAATGATTAGTCATTTATTTTACTTTTGCTTTTCACAGATATTGGTATCAACTTGACAGATCCTATGTTCAGAGGGATTTATAGGGGAGTTCAAAAACATCCAGGTAAATGTCTCCTTTTTTAAGCTAAATAATTTCTCCATGAAGATAAATGTTGTGCCTCAAGAAGAGCTTAAAAAGAATAATCTGTTCTTTAGCTGAAATATTAATAGACTTAAGCATCTTGGATAAAATTATAAACAAAGTGAAACATAAATATATATTAATAAACTATGAGAGAACATTTATACAGTAACTGTTATAACGAAGTGTTAATTACACCTCTTTTGTCTGTAGGGGTTTATAATATTGAATGTAGACTATTGTAGCCATCTGCACAAAAGCCAAACAATAATTGATGTTTTAATTAGTCCTTTTTAGCAGTTGAGCAGTAGGGTACAGAATTCAAAAATCTATTTTTTAAAAAACATTTCCAACTAGGTGACAAACGACAGCGTGACTAGGCAGGCGTGTGCTGCTGTGTCGTTCCTTTCCCCTTTCCACCCAAGTAACACTGGCCCTCGATAGCCATGGTGTGGGTGGGGAGAGGCAGTAGTACCTCAAGGACTGACGGAAAGCTTAGCCAGAAGGAAAATAGCTTATACTTATATAACACCAAGTTCACTTAAAAGACTTCTTTTGTCACTTGCAGTGACTAAGCAGGAAATGATGGTGACAAGTTTTGAAAGCAGAATGTCTCTAATAACTAAGCCTGTGAATACTGCCTCAGAAAAGTGCTATACTTGTTATTGTATAAATGCAAACAGAAAATTTTGTGATTCTGAATGATGTGGAATTGTACATTTCAATCTACTAAATCAAATCTTACTATGTCTCTAGGTGATACTTAGTGAAAGCTCTGAATATAGGGAGTGTTAGATGCCACTTGAAAGAAGAAAGGTAAATGTTAGCTCTCATAAGCCTTACCTCAAAATTTACTGCTTTGGCTTCCAGTGGAAGTTTAGATGATGTTTTTATGTATTACATATATGATACTATAAGACCACTGAAAATTTACATTTTGCTTTTCTTGCCTTTCTAGCACTTAATAGATTTCATGCTTTCTATACACATTTGTGAAATTTCATTGTGATCAGTTTCAGTCCTCTAATTCATAACATTGAGTAAAACTCTTTTGCCTTAGTATAAATAAGTTTACTAGATGGATGCTTTTTTGTCTAAAAGAAGTTTTTTAGCTACTCTAGAAAGAATAGTAATTGAATGTTGATCACATTTTTTGTGCTATATAAATGTGAAATTAATAAATTTTTATGATATAATTGTTTCATTTGGCAGCCATTTCTTAGGCCTCTCCGTGCTTAATAATTAGTGTTGATCTCCTGAGAAAAGTTTAACTTTACTTAACAGTGAATTTTGGGGAAAATAAAAAGCAACTGGCAAGGAAAATAAAAATTAATGGGAATAGTAATTATAAAAATATAGCATTAACTGAAGTTTGCAAATAAATGTTATATTATCTTTTAGGAGGCATTACAAATGCATGCCAAAAAGTCCTAGTAAAAATAAACAATCTTAATGATTATTTTATTTTTATTAAAAAAAATACAATACCAGTAAGTTTCAAGGTCAGGGCAAGTGATTTAAATTATACCAAGCAAATTCCACTAGTTTGAACCTCCTAATTTTTGTTCGTTTCCCCTGTTTGGATAAAAATGCAATTAAATCAATAACTATTCATCTAGTTTGCTTTCTATGGATTTTTTAAAAAGTTATCACTAGTTCTATTTTTTTTATATAAGTATTCATCAATTAGTTTTGATTTGACTTTGATGTATAAATGTGGTTGTTACCATGAATTTTTATTTCAAGACAGGGTGGTTAAATATAGGGTGGGTAAATTTTATTTACCAGGTTTTCTTAATGTGGGGTTATATTTTACAGATGACTTAGAGGATATAATACAGAGAGCTGTCCAGATTGGTGTAAAAAAGGTAACTCAGTTTTGTTACTCTTGAGAGCTTTTAATAATAAGTTCTGGTTAAAATACTGCAGAATAGAAGGGAAAGAGCCATTGCCACACTTGGTATTTGGAGATATACTGTCAACATAGTGACATTAGTAAGTTAATGAAATGAAATGTCAAGATATTCTCTTCAAAGCAATTTAATTGACACAGACCTTATGGGTAGTTCTTCCATGTGATCAGAAATAATGATAAATGACAAGGTCTCCGAAAATTTTTTAAAAACGTATGTGAAATAGCAAGCTTCTTTTAATAACATCATTTAGCATGTTAGAATTAAGTGGTCATAAAAAGACATGTATCTCTCTCTAAGTTTAGCTTTTATGGTGTAGGTATACCATTTATGACCGAGAGGATACTTTTATTTTCAAAATGATGATTTGATTATTGGGGACATTCCTCTCTTAAGCAAATGAATATTAGTTTACTGTCATTATTAGAATAGCTGCTTCTTTAAAAATAGCAAACTAGCCCACACATGTACACACACACACACAAATAAGGTTAAATTCCACAATGTGGTATATCAGTTTTAAATAATGGCACTGCTGACTAAATGAGTTCTTTCATCTCCAACTCCAAATTAGTATCAGTCATTATGTACAAGTAATAAGAAAAGATTAAAGTTACAATAGTAATTTCTTATGGTGTGGTCATTTATAAGTCAGTTTGGTAAGTCAGTTTATAAAATATTTTCCTGCAAACTCAAACTATACCAAGTTCCTAAATTTCAGCCAAGAATACTTTAATCTTCACATTTCTAGTTGCATGCAACATCAACTTAGAAGTGACAGAACTGAAGTGAAATTTACTTGGATGAGTTCTGAATTAAAATTTAATTCAGTACCCTGCAGTTATAAGCACCATAGAAGTAGTTACAAGCACAGATGTGGCATCAGAAACCTGACTTCTGTTTCCCAATTCATCCTTCACAGCTTTGTAACCTGCTTCATCTCGCTAGACTTCATTTTTCTCATCTGTAAATAGTGAACAGAAGAATCTAATTAATAGAATTGTTGGGGGGGGGTAGGTAAAATATGGAATGCAGTACACTTGGTATTACACCTGGCATAATCAACCTCCATTGTGTGGAAGCTGCCATCTTTCTATCACCACCTCCACCATCATCCTTATCATCATCCTCACTTGTAAACTGGGAGACGAAATTACACTCTTTGGTCTTAATGATTTTTCACCTACTTTGAAAAGTTAGGTTAAAAAAAGACTTGATTAGAAACTATTTTACATAACTGAAGTGTTGGATGTGGGCAACTGGTCTAGTATTTAAAAAATAGGTAGTAAACAATACAGTTTTCCCTATACTTTTGTTAATATTTTAATGCTATGTTTTACAGGCAGTGGAGAATTTATTTATGGCTGTGTGTTCCCTGATAGTAACTCAAAGTCTATCAAAAGTTTAAGTTACTATGTGAAAATGTCTGTTTATCATTTGTACTTCCTCCTATATTTTGTATATTTTGAAGTAAGGCTTAA